GTAGCATTCATTTTAAACAGGTACCCGAGAATGTTCGGTATTTTTAGGTGGCATAGCAACCTTGCTTTAGTCTGAGTTTAGATGAAATTATGAAGTGACATGGCTCTGTATTATTTTATCTTGGTCTTAGAGTAGTCTGGTCTGAGGTTGTATTATATCCAACAGAAAAATAAAGTAGCTTGTCTCTGAAATCTAGGCCAGCTTCTTTTTTTTCTTTTTCTTTCCAGTTAAAAGGACCTGTGTGTATTGGTGAACTAAATTAAAAGGGTTAGTCAAGGAAAGTTTTCTGAAGGAAGGACATCAAGGCTTTGCCTTTTCTGTGAAGAAGGAGCCATCCACATGGAGAAGGACTGAGGGTGAAAACAGGAGTGGAAGGGAGACAATTTATGGACAGTCCTGTTGGAGAGATATAGCAAATATCAGGAAAGAAACATTTCATCACAACTGAGAGAAATCATTAAAAAATATATAAAATCAAAAGCATGGCTGTTCACCTCAGCAACTTTCAATAGGTTGAAGGTGGGGGCATACCAGAATCTACGAATGTGAAGAGTAGTATTTTGGAAAGCCTCCAAGAAATCATGATATGAGAGTCCTTCAAGATGGTTTATCCCTCAATGCTCTCACCATCCTCTCACAGTTTTAGTTAAATTATATGTGGAAATGGTGGAAAATCCAACACTAATTGATGTTTTAATATGACACTGCATATTATACAACGAAATTGCTTGTTCAGAAAAGTTTTTTACCAACATCTAGGGAGATAGATGGGGTTGTTAGTTAGAGAATGGGCTACCAATGGCAGAAGATCAATTATCCTAGATACAATTTTCTTTGCACTTTGAAGTTAGATACACTGTAGTGATTTTTCTAGACCATCTAGCATATATTTTGAACTAGGTCTTAATTTCCACTTGATATTCAAGGATTCCTAGGATATGATTTATTATTTTGTACACTTGTCCACATCCAGGTGATGTGTTTGAACACTATGAAGTAGTTGGTTTGAAGACATAATCGTTGTCATTGAGAATTTAGCATATCAACACAAGAAGACAGTCACAGCCATAAACAATCCAGACAGCAGAGTGGTTGCAAGTACGGACTCTAGAACCAGATAGCCTGGGACCAAACAACAGCTCTACCATGTCCTGACTCTAGAACCAGATAGCCTGGGACCAAACATGTCCCAGTTGTGTTGCCACAGACAAGTTACTCAGCCCACGCACCTCATCTTCCTCATCTATAGAGAAGGGTAATACTGGGATATACCTCAAAGGTTGTGAAGATTAAAATATATAGGGGGGACCAGCAGTTAGCATAATGGCTATGTCACTGAACTTCCATGTAGCCGATTATGGTTTGAGTCCTGGGCCCAGTGGCTTAAACTCATGCTGGGCACATGTGCGTGCATGCCCAAGATCTCAAGAGGAGAATGGAGGAGAAGGGATTGCAGTGTGGCCATCCCCCCTAGGTGTTATTTCTTGCTTTCTAGCTCCCTGTCTCTGTCTTTCTGGCAAGTGCACACACCCTATAGCAAAAAATCTCTCAAAAAAATATATATATAAAGGACCAGTATTTAGCATAATGGCCATGTCCCTGGACTCCCATGTAGTCAACCGCAGTTCGAGTCCTGGACCTGGTGGCTTAAACTCATGCCAGGTGCATCTGCGTGTGTGCCCAAGATCCTGAGAGGAGACTAGAGGAGAAGGGGGAGCAGCAGTTGGCGTAACATCTATGTTGCTGGATTTCCATGCAGTTCAATGGGGTTTGAGTCCCAGACCTGGTGGCTTAAACTCATGCCAGGCATGTGTGCATGGGTGTCCAAGATCCCAAGAGAATGGAGGAGAAGGGATTGAGGCCCCCCACCCCCGCCAGGGTGATTTCTTGGGACCAGCAGTTAGTGTAATGGCTATGTCACTGGACTCCATGTAGTCCACCGTGGTCCGCATCCCGGACCCGGTGGCTTAAAATTCACGCTGGGCACGTGTGCGTGCATGCCCAAGATCCCGAGAGGAGAGTGGAGGAGAAGAGATTGCGGTGTGGCCATCCCCCCCTGGGGGGTGATTTCTCGCTTTCTGTTTCTCTGTCTCTCTCTGTCTGTCTGCTGAGCGCACATGCCCTATAGCAAAAACCTAAAAAAAAAAAAATAGAGGAGAAGGGATTGTGGCATGGCCATCCCCGCTGAGGGGTGATTTCTTGCTTTCTTTCTCTCTGTCTCTCTGGTGAGCACACGAGCCCTGTAGCAAAAACCTCTCCGGAAAAAAAAAAAAAAGATTAAAATATATATTATATTCTTAGACCTGGCACATGATAAAAACTGTATAGATTTATAATAATTATTGTAATTATGCATTGAAGAAGAAAAACGAAGTAGTTAATTCTATATTCCTATGGTCAGTGAGTTAATTATGGACTAACTAAGCTATATAAACATTCACAGATTTTACTTAGGAATGATTTCTTGTATGGTTATGTGTATAGGGCATCCAATCTTGCTTCAAGGGCAATCACATAATGAATCAATCTTTGGTCATACCCAAACTTATGCATTTAATTTAAAATATCTTTTCCTATATGCCATAAAAATCTGATACAGTCAGGCCTCTATGGAAAAGGATTTTAATACATTCTGTGACTGAGCTTTTGGACTTTGTCTAAAGAACGCTCTATGAGTCTCAGATCTTAATTGAAGCAGCCATATTTAGTGCCACTGAAATAAGTGTGATAACAGCTTGATCATGCAAAGCTTGACATGAGGAAAACACCTGCCTGGTGTTAATAAGATACATGAATTTCAGACAACAGAAACCCAAAGAAAATTACCGCTATGTCTGTCTTGATAAAATAGAAACGGAGGTCTCATTTATTTTATTATATTCAAAAGTTTATTTGAATTTTTATGAAACATGAACAGAAAAACTCCATGGATTATGGTAGGTGTGAAGTTTTAAAATACTGTCGAATCTTTACATGTACTAGCAGTTAAAGCAAAGGAAAGAAAAAAGAAATATTTTTCTTACCTAGATATTCATTAGAACAAACCACAGTGAACTGAGGATACAGCTCAAGTATCTTCATATGTTTGGATACATCAGACATTAGTTTAAACACATATACACATTTTCTTTTCAGTTTCAAAGACTCAGAAGAAAAATGTTGAAAATTTCTAGCAGTTGTATTTTTTTAGGCACAAAAGAAATATTTTAGAAATCAGAAACATTATTCCAAGGTAAGTGAAAAATTACAACATCTTTTTTTCTGTGGAAGTACTTATAACTTTCAATAGTTGAGTATGTCATTAAATTTATGACAGATTTGTAAAACCTGAATATCACATACACTGAATTTTCTGTATACTATGGTCTAGCCATTTTTTTTCTTATTCCTTTGCTATACATCAAAAAAACTCTCTTGTAAGATTGCTTTCTATTTCTAATAGACATGGGTACACATAATTTTTATTTTTAAATGTAGTTTATACATTTAATCACTGTACATCAACACAGCTTGTAAAATGAAGGTTCCCAGCATGAACGCACTGCACGCCAGCACAGTTAAAGATACTATACACATATCAACAGACAGTACATGTGTACACATAATTTTTAAGAAACTAAGTTTTTTCTTGCTTCTTTCCTAGTTATTCAAAAAAGAATAACTTAAAAAAATTTAGTATCTGCATCAGAAGTTGGTTAATATTCATGTATAGTCAGCATTTACTTGACTATGATGAATTGGTTCAAAGAAAGTATGGATAATTGAAATCTATGGTTCTGAGAAAATGTAATTTTATCCTCTACACTTGAACATATATTGCATATATTAGTTGGCTAGAACTTCTAACTGACTGACCACCTCACTTTTGATCATCCCAAAGGACATTACAGATTTATAGAAGCCTTTAGTATACTCACTTTATATATGAATAACTTAGGGATTAAATATCATGTTCTTAAGTAAATGCAGATAAACAGCCTTAGAAAAATTAAGAATCTAGAATTTCAACCTTTGAAAAATTTATTGCATCACACTGAGAAGGCAGATAGCTTATCCCATAATAAACTTTTCTGTCTCCTTGCTGCCCTGTGTCCATGGTTCTGAACTTTGAAACTTTGTTTTCATTCCCCTCACTTCCTCCATACACTTCTCTCATGAATGTACCTGCTTCTCCTGGATATCCAGATCCAGGTCCAGATCTATCATTTGAAATCTGGGATAAGTCTCATCTCCTTCAGGAAGTCTCCTAGTCCCCACTGTCCTTAACAATTGTAGTATTTACAGGGATTTGTTTTCAAGATTTTAAGTTATTTCATTTATGTTCCTCTAAATTCTCCTACTAGATTATTAGCTCCTAAGAACAGAGAGCAAGTCTATTACTTCTTTGAAATTGACAGCACTACAGTACTTGTTTATGTAAGTAGAAAATGCTTGATGAATATGTGGCTATAATTTAACCTACCCAATGGAGTCTATAAAATCACTTGTTATAGTTGATTCGGGTACAAGCTTTTTCAACATATTCCTATACCAATCGACCCTAACATTGATTTCTAATGGTCAGTGAAGCCAGACATATGACCTAGGGAATCAGATCAACTTAATGTACTTGATGGATTCCCTGAAAAGAGCAGGCATTTGCTCCATATATCAATATTGACACCAGGAACAGGAAATGTTATGCAGTGACTGCTTTTCTATAGAATTACATTACCTTCAACCATTCTGCTAGTCATTATCTTCTCAGTAGATAAGAAATATCTGTGAGTGGTAGTTCCTGTGGTATAGCTGATGAAAATGCATTCTATTATTCATTATAAATTTTGCAGATCAAGCATATTGTCCTCACAAACTTCATTTTTAAGAAATCTTCATCTGAAAAAAACATGCTTGAGAGTCATCATCTTTTTTGAAAAAGAGATGTCACTCATTACAATTTAATTTTTCTGAAATTTAAGTATTCTGTATAAACCATCATGTGCTTTTGTTCATATTTTAAGGTGAATTTGGAGAAGTCTGTAGTGGGCGTTTGAAGACACCTGGAAAAAGAGAGATCCCAGTTGCCATCAAAACTTTGAAAGGTGGCCACATGGATAGACAAAGAAGAGATTTTCTAAGAGAAGCCAGTATCATGGGTCAATTTGACCACCCAAATATCATTCGACTAGAAGGTGTTGTCACAAAAAGTAAGTTACTGATTTTCTTCATTATTTTATATGTCTATCTACCTCAATTCCTTTGGGGGAAAGAAAAAAGCTTAATAACAATACCATAGTCATTAAAAGTAACATAACTTAGTTTAGACATCATCTTTTGATATCACTTCTTGAGAGTGTATACTAGGTGATGACATTATCTGAGTTTGCACTGGTCACCAAACAACTTTCAGATCATTTTACCTGCAAACCATTACTAATTTAACTTAAGCGAATGAACCAAAAGTAAAGTTACATCTTTTTCTAATTTTTTTCCTTAAATTTCAGTATTAATAGAAGGAACATTTTCAATATTTTGTCATAAGGCAATATACTTCTGGTTAGAAATAACTTTTATATAGAATGCTTTCTCTGGAGTAAAATGTTTTTATGTAATTTATTTATTTAATTGCATTTTTAAAAATTTGACCAAAGAGATACAGAAAGGGAAAGTGAGATAGCAAGCCTCCAGGTCCGATACTCAAACTGCTGTCAGCCCATGGGAATCCAGCACCTTAATCACCATGCCACCTGCCAGCCCTGGATTAAAACTTTTAACAATAAGTTTCATATGGAACCCACCTACAAAATTAGAAATAAATCATTATAATTTATATAAAAAGAAAAGAAGGTTTATAACATCTGAAGTATATGTCTAGTTTTCATAGAAATAATGGGAGTAAGGTGATTTCTTTAAAAGGAAGTTTCTAAAATATCCAAAATTAGTCGTATACTCCAAAAAATAGATTACTTTGTGTCCACTTTTACTTTATTATAAAATACTAATCTTTAAAATGGGAACATACTTGGATAGAGGGAAATAAATTACACCTAAAATGTAACATTTGGAAAGAGCTAGCTAGTTATGCCATATACCTAGTAAAAATTGTAATTTAAAAGAGGGATGTAGAGAGACAGTGAAAAGAAATAACGTTAATTATTTCTTTTATATTTTTCAACTTCTTTGTAATTGATTTAACATGAACACTTAAAGTTATTCCCTCTGTTTTATATCTCTCTGGCAAGCTAGAGATAATTTTACAGTTGGTTTATGAACCTTCATAGATTATTTTAAATAGCAATCTAAATATGATGTTGAAGTTCTTCTATGTGTGTTTATGTGTGAAATATCTACAACTGTGTGTCCAATAATGAATTTAAAGGTTTAAAAGTATCAGATATTGGGACCAGCAGTTAGCATAGTGGCTATGTCTCTGGACTCCCATGTAGTCAACCATGGTTCTAGTCTCGGACCCAATGGCTTAAACTCATGCCAGGCGCGTGTGTGTGCATGCCCAAGATCCTGAGAGGAGAAAGGAGGAGAAGGGCTTGCAGTTAGGCCATCCCCCTTGGGGGGTGATTTCTCGTTTTCTGTCTCTCTGTCTCTCTCTGTATCTCTTGCAAGTGCATGTGCCCTATAGCAAAAAAACCTCTCCAAAAAAAAAAAAAAGGTATCAGATATTTATTTTCTCCCTTTGATACTTCAAATTATGTGTTTTTTTTCATGTATGCCTATGTGTCTTGCTCACATATTATTGTGTATATATAACTAAATTAAAGTATATGAAAAGGAAAAGGATGCATAGCACTATGAAATAGTGGGAAGCAGATATTGGGACCAGCAGTTAGCATAGTGGCTATGTCTCTGGACTCCCATGTAGTCGACCATGGTTCTAGTCTCGGACCCAATGGCTTAAACTCATGCCAGGCGCGTGTGTGTGCATGCCCAAGATCCTGAGAGGAGAAAGGAGGAGAAGGGCTTGCAGTTAGGCCATCCCCCTTGGGGGATGATTTCTCATTTTCTGTCTCTCTGTCTCTCTCTGTATCTCTTGCAAGTGCATGTGCCCTATAGCAAAAAAACCTCTCCAAAAAAAAAAAAAAGGTATCAGATATTTATTTTCTCCCTTTGATACTTCAAATTATGTGTTTTTTTTCATGTATGCCTATGTGTCTTGCTCACATATTATTGTGTATATATAACTAAATTAAAGTATATGAAAAGGAAAAGGATGCATAGCACTATGAAATAGTGGGAAGCATTTAAATAGATCAATTTAATGGGTGTAATGAGATATTCTGCAGCACCTGTCTGCCAGTTTGAAATAGTTTATTTCACATAAGCATCCAAATAATCAACTAGTAACTGCTTTACGACTCTAACAATGACATCTAAATATGACCAGTCACATCTAAATATGACACCAATGATCTGTACTTACAAACTTGCACCATCTAGAGTCAAAGTTTTTGTTCCACTTCTTAAAAAAATAATAATAATAATTAAATAATTTACAGGCCAGCAGGTGGCATGGAGGTTAAGGGAGCTGGATCCCACATAGCTTACTGTGAGATTGGAATGCTGGACCAGCAGTTTGGGAAACGCACCAGACCTGTACGTGTGCATGCATAAAATCTCTAGAGGAGAATGGAAGAGAAGAGTTGTTGTCATGGTCATCCCTCTGTGAGGGTTTCTCTTTTCTCTCTCTCTCTCTCTCTCTCTCTCTGCCGAGTGCACATGCCCTACAATGAAAACTTAAATGTAAAATTAAATCATATTCCATATACATTACTATATAACAAAACTGACTTAGAAAGGATAGATTCAGTATGCTTTTGAGTGGCAATCCCATTTTAGTTTTAATTTGTAAGAGAAAGTCCCAGAGTGGTGTGATGAAGGTGGGTGGTGGGATGTAGAAGGGAATAATTCCCGCAAAGATAAGTGGGCATATTTATACTGCTAGTCTCTTGACTCAAGTGCTATGGGATTGTAAGAAGAAAGGCAATAAATAAATGAATCTCTCATTCCCATAAATACATGGTAATTATTTCAAGATTTCCCTTAAGTAGCTCAGAGATAGCAATTAAAGCTCCCTAAGGATGCCTCATTGCATAAAAGATAATACTGATGAAGAGAAAGATGCAATATAGGTTTATTAGGACATGTTTGTAGAGAATCCTGGGGTTCTGAGAAATAGATGCAAAGACTTTCAATCGAAAGTTATACAAACTTACAGGTCTAAATCTTCATCATATCTTTTATAAATTTTTAATAGACATACTTCTTATCATGTGTAAGTTTTATCTCTGAGAGATATGTATTTTAAAGTTCTTGGAATGCTTTTGCTCTCTTTCATAATTGAGCACATTACCACTTTTATTTTGAACTTGAAAGTTAACTAATTAAAACCTATGTTGTACAAAAAGTATATCTGATAAAAGTTGAACCAATTTGTGTGATACACATCACAAATTCATTAATCTGTTAAGATAACCTGATATATAAAGAGATTATCCAAATTATAATCATCAACTTAGCACATATTTCTTCTCCAAGAAGCAAATAGAAGCCATCAGTCAGGAGATAGACCTGCAGCCAATAGTAGCATGGATAGTATATCTTTGTAACTGATAATGTACAACCCAGCATCATTCACTACGTAATCAAAATGGAAAAGCTACTCTCAGATAAAAATAAATAAATAAAAATTGTGGTATAATAATGAAAAAATGCAATTCAAAAACCACACTTAAAAAAAAAAAAAGCAAACAAACAAACAAAGCACACACACACACATACTCCAGAAGACTGGACTTTACAGCTGAATTCATAATGAAAGAATTAAAAGAAAAACAATTACATGCCCGTCTGCCACTCTGCGGGCAACAACTAAATTAGATGTATCAACTTATCGCAAATAAATCATAAATCCAGTAAGGAGTAATAAAAACCAATCAGAACAGCAAAGAAACTCTCCAAAGTAACTTTATTTCATCATAGAACATTCCTTAAAGACAGACAGTGTAGAAGCTATGGCGGAAAGTGCAGACTCTGCTCAGACCTTCTTTAGATACTCAAGAATATCATGGGCTCCTTCCAGAGTCTTGGTGTGTCCACCTAATATCTAAATCAGAGAGTTGATTCAAGCCATTGAAATAAATTTTGGTACGTGCCCAAGAAATACCCATCTGTTCCCAGAATTGTATTCTACTTGCCAAGTAAATATTTTCCAAGCTTTCTTTTTAATTATTGCCACTGATATATCTTATCCTCTATCTGGTTATATGTGGGCAGGTCCAATAACTTCATTAAGTCTCCATTTTTTCTCTCTGCACAAAAGATTTAAAAATGCATATTAGAATTAGAAAACAAGAAAGATTACATTTAGTGCTAATATATTGTGATTCCATTCCTTTGCTGAAAGAAGAAAGTCACTAAATGTTGATCAGAAATTCTGTGCCACTGTAACATTTCAACCCATCTCCAACTTTATCATAACTTCAGGATAATATTGACTATCCAAGAAGGAGATTGATTCAGAAAGAAGCAACAACAACAAAAGTACCTCCTATAAAATTTTAAACTTCTAATAGGTGAGGTGGAGAAATTATGGGGAAATTTTTCCAGTAAGCAAAACCTAGGTTTAGATACATTGTACAGGATGAAACTGTCATTAAATCTCATTTAATAGTAGCCACTAGATTTTATATGTTCCGAAATTCAACTAGTGTATAGCTAAGGTAGTTTAAAATTTTTTTTTGGTTACGCTTTCGGTTTTCTAAGAAATATTTAGTGAGCAGCACGAGGTGTCAGGTACTATTGCCATGTAAAATCCAGAGAAAGAGGAGAGAAGGGCTCAGTGCCCTTGAGATGCTCACTTGTTGGTGACAGTCTAGTTGGAGCAACACATTAACTGTGTCATTATTTCCCAAAACCATGTGGCATGTGCTATTTTGGACATAATTATTCATTCTTCAGTCAGTCAGTCAGCGAACATGTACTGAGTGCCTGTCCTTCTAGTAACTATTCATCAATAAATGAAAAAGACAGAGCTGTTTAGTGATAGAGACAAAAAAGAAATCGAAATATATAGATGTAATTTGAGGTAAAGAGCAAAAGTCTGAATAAAGCAAGGTAGCAAACTATGCCCAGAGGTGGTAGGAATCTTTTCCAGGTAGAAAACCACTGTGGTAAGCAAGAATTTGACACATTA